AATTAATAGCCTCTCCATGTAGCTTTCACAAAGCTCTTCAAAGATTTGTTATCCAAACAGATACAAACACCTGTAACTCAGCTCAACCAAATTTTGTTATAGTTCATGTTTCCCTTTCAACAATATATTACCCAATTTCTTCTTAATGATAATAATGATTATTTTTAAATACCATTAAGCGTTCTCATTGAAGAAATCATTATCTTTAATGACTTAGCAAGCTACATTACAAAAATATTATTGTTAATGATCATAATTATACCAAAGAGAAGTAAAGGAACCTTTGTTATAAAATTCAAAAACTTTATGATATATATTTTAGGTAAAAAAAGTTATAGTTATTGTTATTGTTCACTTATTAAACTGCTAGATACTAGACAGAATTTCTCAATAATTAACATACATGTTTCTGTTTAAATAACTATAGTTTGTTACTGTGCAAGCCAATTTACAAGACATTGATAATGCTAATGATTAAAGAACCAAGACGAACTATTTCTGTAAGGCTACAGAAGCATTGTTATACAATTCAAAGTTTCCATTTGACGTTAGAGTAATTTCATAAAGCTGTTGTTCACATATTCAGTTGCCAAATATAGGAGAAAATTTGTCAAACGCTAATTCATAATAGGTATATAAAGTTGGCTGTTACATCTGACAAAGTAAAAATTATAAATTTGACTGCAGTACCCCCAGCGGGAGCCAAGAGAATGGAGGAGATAACCATGTCTGTGTTATATGGGAAGGTGACTCTAGCTGGGCTCCCATTCATAACCTTCCAGCTTCCCAATAACTTTGACATTTCAGTCTGAGTTAGGTAAACTGATTTTGCACTGTAGAAAAATTAAAATATTGCACGTTGCACTACTGTTGATACACAAACAGTATACAATAAAACTCTTCAGTCTGATATGGGATACAAAATCCAATCTCTGACACAGGGTCAATTAAGGTTACTAACCAGCAAAAGACACCAAACGTGCAAACCCCCCCCACCCCCCAAGCAAAAAAAAGAAACCAAAACAAAAAATCACAGATACACAAACAAGTTCCATTATTCAATGCGAAAACAAGCATGTCGAATGCACCCCTTAATCTTTGATTACTCCTAGTAATAGTAGTTGTAAGAGAAAACCTGCAGATCCCAGCAGGGATCAGGAGGGCCGTGGGCCATGCACATATGGCACATAAATCTACAAAATGACACGTTTTGAAAGTACCTACAGGGCCTGCAATGCGCCCTAGCTGCGAAACAGCTTGTAACATATACACTATTTTGTGGAAAAGATTTTCTGTTGTGAAATTTTGTAGTGTAATGACAAATAAACACATTGGAAGTCACAATGCCTTTGCTCTTTAATTGACATTATAAAAGCCTTTGTTTAGTTTTTCCCCCATACCCTTTACTCAGACTCTGCTCGCAAACAAGGTTCTTGCTCAATCCACGTGCTTTCTGTTTGCAATGATAGACTTGGCTGATTTGAATATGTTTTGCATGCTCTAATAAGCCAAATAATATGCCCCTGAAAGCGAAAGTTCTGAAATTGGAAAAGAGTCTGCCACAACAAAGCCATTCCCTTGTGGGGGCAAGAAGTGAGTATTCAGCCAAGAATGGTCTCATTAATTCACTAAATAGATCAAAAATTTTGCCCCCACAAGGAACTGGAGCTAGCATTAGCAAAATGGTGTATTGTGATCCTGAAAACAATGATCAAGATGAAGCTTCCAAGCCTTCTAGTTCTGAGGGATGAAAACATTTTAGGTTAACGTTTCATTGACTATTAGAGAGTAGGTGTGTTACGTACAGTTCATACACAGCTCAAGTTTGGAATTGTAAATGCAACTTAATTTATCACTCTAAAGCTAAAACTGACCATATCTCAGTGATGTTGATATCAGACTCAGTGTGTTAAGTTCCAGTTCCAGTTCAACCTCAATGAAAGGTTATACAATTTGTGTTAGCTATATTCTGTGACTGTACACTTAAACCCATTGACGCCTGTGTCAGCCCTAACTGGCCGTGCGAAAACTACCCCTGGAATGCCTGTACCAGCAGTAACCAGCCATAAACAAGCACGTGAGGAGAATACAGTGATGAGTAGATTTTTATTTTTTAATCTTGTATATAATTTAAATAACTATGCAAATTATTACTTTATGATTATCATTGTTCCTGAAAAACCCCATTGGGGAGGTTCAATTCATTCATTCATTATCTAATTGCATGTTGCTTGCCTCATCTTCGAAGTTATGTTTACGTCAATTCTTGATTTTTTTCAACATCTGAGGCAAACAGTAGAGAGACACCAAAAACATAATACACAAGAGAAACACGGTACATTTGATTCTTGTCAGTCTTCGTTTTTTGATTCTCATTCTTCGTTTGGACTTTCGTAGTTGCCAAGAAATGATTAATGAAGGTTGCGGTTTGCTCTCTGTTTGACCACGAGGTTATTTTTAACAGAGAACATCATTTGCTTGGCCCGTTTGCTCTAGAAATGTGCCAGTGACAGAGCTTTTTACATCATGGCTGCTGCCCAGTTTTTTGCAACATTAATTTAAGAAAGCCTGGTAGTTTTGGGATGTTGTTTACTCACTGCAGTGATGAAGTTTCAAGTTAATTTAGCAAGTTTACAGCAAATAAGCAGCCCCAACAGCCAAGATAACTTTCAAACATGTTGTGCCAACAAGTATTTGATAAGATTTCTAGCAAATTTCACAGAATTTCACGTGTTTTTGTGACTTTCGCGGGATTTAATGGATTTACTTTAAATTTGTGGCTCCGCAAATGCACATAATATCAGAAACCCTGTTTCACCTAGCTTGAAGTCCAGTAAAAAGTATAAAACAACAGCAATCAAGAATTATGTATCATTTGTCAAAATTTTTTTATGGCCCATTTATTTACCCTGATGGCCCCAACGTTTTATAAATGGCTCGTAACTTTCCAATACCATAGGCCATAGGCTCATTTGCCTGTTTTGCCTTCCCAATCCCTGTCCCAAAATCAAACTTGGGTCAACAGGAGTGGAAGCCAAGAAATGTAACCACTGCACAACGTGCAAAAAACTTTCCGAGAGACCAAAACAAAGCAACCGAGCATTCCAGTCTTCTCACAAAATGCGAACAAGCTAACAAATATGTGACATCAGTGTCTGATCTAGAGCGTGCCATTGTGGGATTGGCGCAGTTCGATAGAAGATGTCCCCCAAATATTCATCAGGCAGGACATTTTGGCACAGCAAACGTCTGCAGCTACTGACTTGTAATTTTCCTTCATTTCCGAAGTTTTTCAAAAACTTTGTGTGATTTAAAGTTTCATAGAATTGACAATATAAAACAGCGTGCATTTTATGAATATTTGTGACACAGACAAATAAAAATGGCTGCCAGAGGCTGAGATGAGATTCCTGGGAACAAGTAGAATAATTCTTATAGGGGGGTCAATTTTTAAAAATGCACATGCTCATTGCGAACCCCTTACTTTTCATGCTTGATTGACGAAACGCGACATGTTATTTCGGTTGTTTTCTTCGTCATTCAGCTATGTTATTGTCATGTCAAAGCAGAAAAGAACATTATCATTCTTTGGTGGAGAAAACAAAAGAGAAGAACACAGACCGCAAATGGAAACCAGCAGAATCGACAACGTTGACGAAGATAANATGTCAAAGCAGAAAAGAACATTATCATTCTTTGGTGGAGAAAACAAAAGAGAAGAACACAGACCGCAAATGGAAACCAGCAGAATCGACAACGTTGACGAAGATAAATTGAGTGATACTGATGAAAGTGAACCTTTTGTTCAAAGCAGCAAGGAGAAACTTTCAATCTACCTGGTTGGAAAAATTCAAGTGGTTGCAATACGACCCCATAAAGGGTATGTTGTGTTCGATTTGCATTGAGTCTAGCAAAGCAAATCCCTTCACTTCTGGCTGCATTAATTTCAGAACTTTGACACTCACTCGCCACGTAGAAAGTCAGGATCATCGAAATGCTCTTAAGGAGGTTCATATGGCCAGCAATTTTGAAAGAGCTGTTGTAAATTACGTTGCTCTCCCGGACAAAGAGGTGGTTAGTGCATTGAGAACTGTGTATTAATGAATAAAGTTGTGTTTCCCCCTGTTTATTTTTTTGTCTTTATGACATACATGTACTACCCATAACTCATTTATGCTGACTTAACTTTTTTTTTCATTTTTCACAGGCAAAAAACAGTGTGTCCCCAAAACACTGGAATGTCCCCTAGAAAATTGTTGACTCAGGCAGAATGTATCCCTAAAGTGAAATCCTTGATCAGACACTATGACGTATGTTTTCATACACTGAAAAGTCTGAAAACTCTGTTGATGTCAACATAGTCTGACTAGTAAGACATGTGAAAAAAAAAAAAAAACACTCTTCATTTCCCCGTATTTTTACTCCATGGAAAAGCTACCCAAGAATTCTCTTATACATGTTTGAATGAACAGCAACTAAACACCATCCAACCCTCTCCCATACCCCAAAAAGTTAAGACAGACTGGCTCGTCATTTATTCTTTCCCATTTTCATCAATTCCTTTTCACTGAAATGTTGCCTGTTGCTCTTGTGGAGAGTTCTTTTTTGAGCTTATCTAATCTTGAAACAAAATACTCAATCTCGCAAGCAAAGCACGCGCCTCACCAGTTCAGCTTAAGCTTATCTATGTGCCGCTAAATTGAACCGCTTGTTTTTCGTCTGCAGCCTACTCCACAGTTGATAATGCGTTACAGCCCATAAGGCTTTTAACATCGTTCTGTCGCTTTCAAAATGCTTTATATTACATGTCGACAAAACGTGTGTCGATGACGGTTACGCCTAGACTGTACGGAGGGATAATATTACTTCAGCTTTACGTCTGCTACCGTAACCATATTGATAACATTCCACAGTAGCGAATATATTCGTACCAGAAACTTAAAGCAAAGGCGTTGTATATCGGAAGAAATACATCATGAAATAATTTAGGTGCCTCTTACCCGCAGTTCCTTAGATCCTCAGTAGAATCGGAGCGCAAATCAGCTGAATGACACGATCTCTTCTGCTGTTTTTGCAGGTCAACACTGCAGTCTCGTTAAAGTCACGATCAGTTATGTGCTGATAAACAATACTTTTGGAAACACCTTGACATGCATTTGAACCATTTTACGTAAAAGATATTGCCAAAATGAACGATCGAAGCCCACTAAACCCGCTGCGCGACAACAAGACAGGAGCCATATTGGAGCCATGCCAAGTATTCTATTTCATTTCGTTCCCAGACCATGACGTATGGTTCACCTCGAGGTCCGCTGGTCCGCAGAGCGTGAAAAGATTTTGGCTGTAAATAAGCCATGATGGCTCTGAAAGTAATCTCCCCCGTGCACTTCTCGAGCATTTTCATCCCTTTTTGTAAACTTAAAGATGCACCAAGGCACTAGACGTAGTCAACTTCTGTATAGAAAAATCTCTACAGCGAAGTTTTTGAACCCGGGTCAATAACATCCAAAAGACAACTTCCTGCCGGAAAACTACAAAAAGTCACTCAATGCAATGTTAAGACTCGGGTAGTAGTGGTGGAATTGAGAAGACTTGTAAATCCACAATGAACACGAACAATTTCGTTTATAACCGAAAACAAACTTTGCTTCTAAAATCTGTGAAATTAAGCTAAACACTTCAGTACAAATTTTAAACCTTACATTTGGGTCTGTTCTTTCCATAACTTAGGTGAGCGTCCTTGATTCTCAGCAGCACGATTGCAAATGCAGTCTTTCATGACAGCGAGAGCGTACATGCGTAATTCCACCAGAAGACTTGCATAAGGCGTTTTTAGCAATGCTATACCTTAGGATCTTTCCGTAAGCTATTCTCATTCTTTACAATTTTTATTTTAAAGACGATTCTTACGAGGAGACTAGGAGGAGACTGTGGGACGGAATATTTCGGAAGAAAATTATGGACGCTCTCCATTTTTATGGGAAAAAAAAAAACGGTTTATCTGGAGGGAACCCAAACGGAACGGGCCTTTCCAGAATGGAAATCGTTTGGAACATTTGTTATACCATCAGAGGTATTATTCTGCTTGATCGGTGTACGGGCGGAACGGTAACTCACGAAGAAATTCTCAACTCTCTTCTTCGGACATATCGGCTTCAACGGACCTATCTACTTTGGGTCTACTGGCTCTAACGGTTACCCTGACTGTCTTTCTACTTCTTAAATTGTATCTAGGTTGAAAACTGTTCTTTGAAACTCTCTTCACAGACTTCACTTAAATATTAGAGAGGTTAAGCATGACGTTAACGGCGGACGGCAAACGGCAAAGATAACTTCTGATTTTGAGTTCTTTTCTTTTAATCCGTAAATAAAGCACACAAAAATGGAATAACTTTTCCTCCTGTTCATTGCAAATATTAATAATTTCACTTTACTGTACACGGAACTGGAGGGAGACGGAAAAAGTTTCATTTTTGCCGTTTGCCGTGAACGTCGTGCTTAACCTCTCTATTGTTTACTCACGTACTTGGGCGATAACAACTCCACGCACCAAGGGATTTACATCTTGCGTATACGAACCACTACAGCAAGCTTGTCGATGTGTTTGTTCATTCTGTCTTGTCCTTCGGCATTCCAGTTGCAGCTACATTAATTCTCCTCACCACTGTGACAACGGGATTTTCCGCTCTGAACTCTAACTAGGGGAAAACGGGCGTTTGACAAAAGTTTGGCAGGCCTAACTGGCCTGACGACTGTGCTTGACTTGGGAATTAGCTCGGAGCAACTCGCTTGCTGCCAGAGAGGAATCTATCAGGGGTTCCGCAAAGCACTGTCGGATCTGCTTCGACTGAAATCAGGACCCTCAGAGAACTTGGCCTTCGCACGTTTATTCTTCGTATTTCGCTATACGTCTTCGATGTACGACTCTTTGATGTAGAATCGTAAATCGTCGAGATGTAGATCGTCTTACAATGAACATATTACTTTACTTATACTAACGCAATACACGATTGCATCACGTAAGGACAGACAATCCTCTAACAAAGCAGTGTACAAATGAAAGTAGTGTCAATCAAAATATGTAAATGTACTTGTATTAAACGATTTCGCAAATCCTTCTATAAGCAGTTGCATAACAATCTTATTTGTGTATTAATGATGTAATATAAGTATAGGTGTGGCCCGCCTAGATTAGCCCAGGCTACCTGCGGGTTCGCGCTGTTACTATTGTAAAATTGTAAATATGTGAGTCATAATAAAGTTGTTGTTGTAGTAGAAGTCCTACTTTTAACACCCTCGCTATATTTTTTCCCTGGCAATATTTTGGGGTCGATATTTCGAAGTTTCCGATATATTATAGAATGTCAAGATTCTTCGAGAATTTAGGGATATTATAACATCTTCTCAGCTTTTCGGGCCTAGCCTTGATTTTTTTTTTCTTTTTTGGCTCGCCCTTCTCTTGCGACAATACTCCGCGCTATCGGCCAGAAACAACCTACCAGTTGAACCTCCGGTTGCGACCAAGGGGTTGCGACCACCTCTAGTAAGCGACAAACTCTCCTCGGCGATCATTTTTCCAAAATACCAAAAGCTTCTAAATGAAATCACTATATTTGGAACCTCTGTAAGCGACCACCCCTCGTAAGCGACCGCGACCACTTTTAGAGCTAAAAAAAATTGAAATGTTCGTTTGTCTTTAACCTCCCGTGAGCGAGCACTTGATAATAGAGCGGAAATTGGATAATGACTAAATGAGGTGTTGAAACATTATCCCATTTCTGAGTAGTACAAAAGACGGTAATTTCTCGATGGGAAGTACCGCGTGTTTCTCGAAATTGACTTTTCGCTCAATTAAAGCATTTAAAACATGGGATAAGCCCCTGCAGTTAGCATATGCTAACGAGGTAAAAGATTGACCTGGTATGGTCTAAGCTCTCGTAAGCGACCATTTCCCGTAAAGGATCGCCTACAATCATGGACAACAGTCTTGGGACAAATTTGCACTTTTGGCGCTTTTGCGTACACGCCAGACGCGAATACAACTTCACCTGCCTAACCTGGCCCCCACCCCCCCGCCCATACAATGTTGAAAACTAGTACCTGCAATTTCACCTGATTTTCAACATTGTGTTGGGTGGGGAGAGGGACAGCAACGTGCTTATAAAGGATATAGCAGCGTGTTTTTCAAACTTCAGTTCTAAAACACAGATAATTCGTTACATTACATAAGTGTCCCAAGGATTTTTGTCCGCGATTGTAGGCGTAACATTTTGGCTGCTCGCTTACAGTTCAACTCTAGTTCAGTGAGTCCCCACTTGAAAAAACGGATTCCGACAAAAATTCGTATCTTTAGACGCACTGGAGCCGCAATTTTCCAAAATAGCAAATGCCACTAAAATCAAGCCACCTGAATTTTAAAGGAGGTAACAAACGTTCTCTGGTAAAATGAATCCTGGTATCGGATCTTCAATATTTTCACCTGAATTTTCTTCCTCTGCTCCTTATGTCAATATCCTCCCAGAGCTGTGGTGATGATGACTCCTTTTACTACTGCAAAAATTTAAAACTGTCGCCTTAGTGATTCAAAATCGGTTCATTTGTTAGACAAAAATAACAGATATTTAGAGGATTTTTCGAGATATTTATGATTTTTGGGGGTGATATATTATAATCTCTTTTGAAAATGTCCAGGCGATTTGACGTGATATTCGTTGAAAGGCCTACAATCACTCCGTTTTGATCAAATTGAAATGTCCACATTTCAATCACCCATTCGATTGAAGAATTAAAGTGAAACAAGTCAAGTTTTCCATTTTTCTCTTGTAAAGGTCGTAGAGCCGTAAAAGCAGATTCGACCATGCCAGTGTGCACTTTTGTTAACGCTAGCTCGGAAAAGGAATGTTTCTTTAGTCCGTGATCGACAAACCTTTCTCGGGGTTTACAAGATGATGACAGTGATTCCATTCAAATAATTCCAAAACAATACTTTAAAGTTATTTTACTCTGAGACCACGAGAAAAGATCGTGAGGTTTCTATGGGACAAACTTGTCTCAGTTACAGTTACGAAATTAAACAATGTTCTCGCGTGAATATATCTGCTTTAGTCTTTTTATCGATAATAGCATGCGTCCGTGACGCTTTCTTCAGTAACCGCCTGCTTAATACGGACACCCAAATAATATGGACACTATAGCATGTCCCCTTGGTATCCTTAATAACCTTGTTCCACTCGCAGATAACCTGCACCTCTTTAAAACTTCTCAGTTTTGATTCGTTCTTGTTAATCTGCACCTCTTTTGTTTTTAGGGTTAGGAGTATTGTTTGTGTTGTATACCCATTGTTTCGTTTGGCAAATCATGAAGACCCTCGTAAACGGTGCGTGGTCGCCCTCCACTCGTGTATTTCTTTGTTTTCCCTCGGCGTATAAGGGCCTGGAGATGGGAACACTCTGCGTTACTATGAACAACTCTCCATTAGTCATATAGGAGTCATCTAGCCAACTTGACCACCGATTAGGACAGTTACCGTGTTCGTCTCAAGGGGACGACATTTCGGAAGATCACAATATAGTTTGTAGATTTAGAGGTAATAGTGTGTGGGTGATATGAATTAGGCATAGTAAAGTATGAAATATAGTGCAAGACAGTGCCTTTTCGAGCGCTACTCTCTACTAAGCCAGGTCGCTGGCACCCGTTTCCATCCCGCGAAACTGACGTGTTTTCTACGGCCAATATAGCGGGCGTTTTTCCCGCTACAACGTGCCCATTCATTGGCTAGTTCATGGTCACATGACATTCAACAATCCGTCTCGGGAATCAAAATTCACTGTTCCTCTCGGAACCAGTCGTTAAGTGTTACATGTTAAACCAGGCCTCGTTCACGCAGTGAGTTGACTAAGTCGTCTCTTGTCTTCAATGTTAAGTGAAGCAGCAGTTCATCGAGGGCCCAGAATTTCATCATGAGTGCCAGTTACAATCTTGACATTGTCAAAACAACTGATCTTAGGCCATCTTGTTGCTCAAATCGACACACAAAACTGACCCAGTCTCCTGCTTCATCTCGACAGCGACTGAGAGGAGCTTCCTTTTTTAGGTGAAATCCTATTGTTTGCAAGCAAGTGTAGGACTGTGTAGGTACTTCGAATAACCTAGACATCTGACATGAATTATTCATCACCTCAGTCAAACACTGCTTGTCATTCAAAGCGCAGCTGTCGATGTGCTCATGGTAAACAAGGTTTTCATGTCCAAAGAGAGAAGGCTGTAGTCCGAGAGAACCGTGCCTACTTTCATCTTATTATCGCTTGTCTTTTCCAACCTCGACCTTTCTCTGTAGCAGGAAAGGCGTTAGGAAAGGCCTTACGACTCCTGAGAACCAACTCTTCAAAAGTTACATTTCAAGAAAACATTACATACTTGAAAGGCAGATTACTTAGAGTTCCAGAAGTTGCCCAGATGTCGGCTATACAAAAATAGTAATAATAATAATAACAACAACAACAACAACAACAACAACAACAACAAAAGGGACATAAAATACCGTTTGTAACAGCATATTGCCCCTCTGTACCTAATCTTGAATATATTGTTCCGAGTAAAAGCAGGAGCACAATGCTCCTGGTAAATGCTATTTCGCAGAAAGATAATGGCTCCCGTCCATGCCCCCCCCCCCCCGTCCAGGCATTGGACAGGTTGTAAGTCTCAACCACGGAGCATTTGATTACGAATGATTGTCCGGGGTTTGGGCATTAAACAATTTAGTCAATTGAAATGCAGAGAATTGTCTGATTGTTTTTTTGTTTTTATTATTATTATTTTTTTTTTTTTATTAAAGAAACAGAACAAACAAAAACCCGCTTCATTGAACATCAAAAGGATTAACCCTACTTAAGGAACATAGATTCAAGTTCTTTGTTTAAACTTGCTCAAGGCATTTTTGCACTTTTCTCATAGCTCCACCATGGGAATTTTGTATGCGCCAGTTTCCCCACGGAGGGACTTTTCCCACCTTCTCAAAACAAAATGTCAAAATGCCCTCAAATTCCCTGGGGGTGGGGGGGGGGGGTGTGAGCGGGCTTGGAATTGACAGAGCAATAAGAGAAATCTATAAATGAGAGGGAGAGCTTTGAAAAACGTACTTCTTAGAGAAATACTTTGAAGGTCGAGGTTTTCCTATTTCGACGAATATAGGAGTCCTGTTTGGCCTGTCAACCACTTTTATCCACTTGTATCGCCATCTTGCTCGAGCACGCGTGTTGATACTTTGAGCCCGCAATAAATCTGGTGGTGGTCTACCAATGAGCGTCAGGGGAAAAGTCGCGCCAAAGGTAACAAGGTGTTCTCGCACGCGATGGCACTAACACGGCTCCGCCGAACGTAACCGAAATTAACGAGGGTTGTTATTTATAGCAGCCTTTGGAGCTCATTACATTCGGAGAGGAAAAACATGTCAAGCTGTTATTTTATTGATCTAGAAATAAATAGGAAACCAAACAAAATAAAAAAAAAGAGAGAGAAATAGTAATGTTACATTAAAACCTTGAAAAATATGTTTGATCTGACCTAAAAAACGCTATAAAATGAACTAAATGAAATGAACTAAGTGTTCGGCAACATTCTGTTTGCCTTCGTCAGAGTGAAATGACTGGAGGAATAATTATAAAAGAGTTTTAAGGCATGTTTTGACCCGTAAGGGGCACGATGAAAGGCAAATAGGCTTTTGATAGGGAGAGGCTGAAGCTCGTAATAGCACAGTACTTAACCCTACTACTGTAGTAAGCCTATTTCGTATGAAAGTAGAATGACTTCTGGTTTCCTTGAAAGTAGTCATTTTTGTTAAGACACGTAGAGACTGCACATACCGTTGCCGTACAGCAAAATCTCAATCATTTGAGTTTGGCGGGTAAAACACCGTTGTCAGCCTATTCCCTCACGGCCAAAGTAGCCGTAGTAACACCTCGCCATAGCGTATCTTAAAGTCCCTAAAATCACAGCGAAGGCATCGACACACTCGATATAGCGCTTCAACGCGTCCAATGTTCGGCTTAGAGGTTAGCTCTGCATTTAGCTGAAATTTCTCCGTCGATAGTTGGACTGTCTTTGGAATTTGCGGCAGTGAAAAAATTTGGCAAAGAACTTGGAAATGACGACTACCACAATAAATGGACCGCGCGCTGAATTTAAGGTAATTCCCCTGAAATAAAACTGCACATAGATTTTTGTTC